CGTGGGCTGCGATCGGCTTCTGGAGCTCAGCGGGTTTCTGGTCCTAGCTCGCTCCCTGCCAGCTCCTGCGCTTCCTCCCCTGGTGACTTTCCAAGAGTATTTAATAATTTCCTGGTGGGTAAAACGCCTGACCGTGATGCAGCTCGTTCCCACAGGATGAGGAAAAGGGCCGGTTACCTTCCTTGAACGACTCTGTTGGACTTTGTTGTGACTCAGCCTCTCTTTCTTGCCAGCTGGACACCGAATATAGGAAGAAGTGGGACTCGCTGGTCATCAAGTTGGATGTAATTGAGAGAGACCTGGCCACTGGATCAGAAGTGATTCACTGGGTCACTCATTTCCCGGTGAGTGGTTCCCTCTTTCCTGCTCCGGTGATCCTCCTCGCCCCCGGCAGACGGCCAGCCGCGGGGCTGATGCCGGTTCCTTCTCTTCCCCAGTACCCTATGTACTCGCGGGACTACGTGTACGTTCGGCGGTACCGCGTGGACAAAGAGAACAACCTGATGGTACTAGTCTCACGGTAGGTATTGCCCGGCCGACCTCCCGACGGCTTTCTGCTGCCTCCCATCTCTAAAACAAAGTTGAGAGCTGGGTATAAATTTCATGAAGGTTTTGGTTTTTAAATGGTCTCAAAATCTCGGTGATCTGTCTGGAAAATACAGGCGCTTGCTCTGGGGTGAAAACCTTGTTCTCTTGGTGCCCCCCTCCAAAATACCAGCAGGTGCTCGGCGTGGTCCACACCCAGAGCTCATCTCCGGCTGCTCCCTTCTCCTCTTCCCTCCAGGGCAGTGGAGCATCCGAGTGTCCCCGAAGACCCCGAGTACGTTCGAGTCAGAACCTATGAGTCCCAAATGGTCATCCGTCCCCACAAGACCTTTGACGAGGTACGTTTTGGGGGTGGGCTGGCAAAGGGAGCAGAAAGGCGGTCACAGGAGAGCTTCCTCCTGCTCCAGCCGCGGCTCCGAGGGGAACTGGTCCTACTCCGGCCATCATCCATAGCGATAAACTGGGGTCAATCGTCCAGAGTCAGAAAAGAGGGATGGGTTTGTTTCCCAAAGGCGAGGGAAGCCCATCCACGCATGGCTCTGGAAGGATTTCGAGCTCTATCCCGGTGGCTTGAGCCTCATCCTGCAGGAGCATGGTGCTCCCGGGGAGCCAAACGCGCCGCTCCAGAGCACCGGGCTCCTTTTAAAAAGCCTTAAGCCTCGCAGGTCTCATTCCTAGCCCTTCATGCTCTTAGAAAAAGCGTCGCGGGGTCTTCACAGGGCATCCAGAGCCTGAAGAGAGTGTGCTGGGTCGGTGGAGGCCTAAGGGAATGGCACCTCCTTCTCCCAAAACCCCGCCGCGTGCTTTCACTGGGTCTTTACGGGTCTGCGTCACCTCCGTAACGCTTCCATCCATGCCCTGAGGAGCCGGTAGCGCTCGCCTTGTGGGATGCGAGCGGCACTAAAGGGAATTTGGGTGAGGAGGCAAAGCCCAGCAGAGTTTCTCTGCCAGCTCAGGCTGACTCGCCTTTCTCCTTTCCCAGAACGGTTTCGACTACTTGCTGACCTACAGCGACAACCCGCAGACCGTGTTCCCCCGTTACTGCGTCAGCTGGATGGTCTCGAGCGGTGAGTGAGCTTTGGTGGGGAGAATTCACCCCTCGGTGAGAAATTCCTCCGGCTCCTTGCTCGGGAGCGAGCCTGGGCGCTCCTGCCTTCCCATTCCTGCACCTGCGCGGGGCGGAAAACAGAGGGAGAAGCTTAAAAACTGGGATCTGGGGGTGGTTTTGGTGCCTTGGGCTGCTCTCTTCCTTTCTCCCGGGGAGGGAAGCCTGCCTGGATTCCTGGCCGTGAGGAGGAACGGGGTCTGTACACGAGGGTGTTCCTGCTCTCCACCTATCCCAGGCAGAAGGAAAAACTAGCAGGATCCCTTTTTTTTTTTTTAATAAAATGGTTTTTCCTTACTTCAGAGCAGCGTTGCCTCTGAAGTATTTCTGCAGTCGAGTTCTTCCCCGTTACGGTGAACAGGGGAGAAGACTCCTGGTTTAGTGGTACGGAGTCTGCGCCGAGACTCCCACGAGGGAGCTTGGCTTTTCGTGGGAGGGGGAAAAATTGGGATTTAA